GTGGATGCGGGAGGTAAGAGCTCGAGAGACACAACGAAGAGTGGGAGGCAAGGCTAGAGAGGAGCGGCGGGCAGGGCAGAGCGAGTGAGAGTCGAGAGTGGGAGGATGAAGATGAGCAGATCAGCGGAGCCGTTGCCAGATGTCTGAAGAGCAGGGGATCCCTAGTGTAGGCAAAGAGGAAGTCCCCATTTCATTGCAGGCACAAGAGCCCAGGGCCCTCGACTGTGGGCTGTGGCTACTACTGGATCCGTAGGTACCTTGCCTCTCGCTGGCTTGCCCGCGATTTTAGGTTGTTCTGGTCAAGATGTGGCCGGACGATGCGACAGGGGCCCCTTGTCGTCCAGACTTTGGAGGGGTTGCATGCCTCATCCATCACCCCCCCCCCCAAATTTCAAAGTGTGTGCGGTGCGATGCGGTGCGGGTGGCTTTGGTGGGCGTTCTATCTTGTTAGTTGTCGATGTTGGGGAAGACAGAGAGAGTTGAATGCGGAGTAAGAGCCTAGAAGAAGACCATTGTCTCCAAGATCTGATACCGAGAGCTTAACATTCGGTGCCTAGTTGGAGAGAACAGCATAACCAGACGCGATCTTAGACACTTCTCGTGCAAGGGCCGAGTGTCACCTTCGCACAATACTCGGCTAGACAAAGACAGAATGCAATCAATATGGTTGGTATCCGCTCTGCTCTCCGCTCTTGAGATGGGATAAACGGAGAGAGGAGAGGTAGGAAGAAAAGAAAAAGGTTGAATCCATGGCTGGTGACATACGATGAACGGAGATCTAACCCGGTCGCCGCAAAAGAACCTGTAGCACGGGAGGGCAGCAAGATAAGACGTGATAGAGGATTGCGGGGGGGAGAAGTTGAAGGTGAGGAGACGAGACGGATAATGATCAATGCACCCACAAGTCAAGGCAAGCAAACGAGGGACGAGAGACGACATGTTCCCTTTTGGCGGCGCTTGAGATCCCTGCTATGAGGTATTCGGCCCCAACAACTCGTATTCATCGGTCCCTGAACATAACAGTTCCCGTAACCAGCCCCTACTTGCTTCCCGGCTTCGCCTGGCCTTGTCCGGCGTATCTGACAGACGAATAGATCGGGCAAGACGAGACACTGACGGTAGATCCATCGGAAATAGCATCATAGCGGGAGCGTCTGGCAGTTTCCATTTGCTGGGATTCTGACAGCGTTGGCCAGTCTCAGATCAGCCCGGACTCTTGACAAGGCCCAATTGTCATTCAAAAACCCGGTCAAGAGAAGGGGAGAGTCGAAGACAGACAGATGAGACAGTCTTCGTTCTGCAGCCTGTCAGTGACGACTGCGCAGTCAGTCAGTCAGTCCGTCCGTCAGTCTCCAAAATGAACGTCTGCACTCGAGAGCAAAAGACTGGCTCGCCGGCTCCCAGCTGCTCCTCTTCGCGCCTAGCCTCAACCTAGCTCAGGTCCTTTTGCAAACCCACCATGAACCCACCCTGCTGCTCCCTGAGCGAAAGCCCCTGCTAGCGACTCGATGCGATGCAAAGCTGCTGCATCTGCCGCGCTACAGGGCAGGGCAGGACAGGGTCGGTCCATGCAAGGACAACGACAACGGCGAGGGCGGAGACGGTGGCCGTGGCCAGGGTGATTGGCAGCCCGGGGGGGGGGTTCTCCAGCTAGCCAGCCAGCCAGCTTGCGTGCTTCTTCTGCATCCAGAATCTCTACAGACTGAGAGGCGTCTGTAAAGAAAAACAAGCCTGTGTGCAATTAACTTTCGGCCTGCTGCGGGCAAGGAACAAGGCGCCGCGAGCTAAAAACGACGCGGACAATTGTCGTCGGACGGGGGTGAGGCTGGAACGGTACTTGACGCTTGGATGAGCGAAACGAGGGACGAGGTCGGTATCTGTACGGTACGGCAATATGAAAAGAAACCAAGCAAGGCCCTTTTCGTTTTACACCATCTTAGTGGTCCGAGTTGGTCTGGCAGCTCTTTGCAATCCATAGAACAAGAAAAGACGAAGGTAGGTTCAAGGTTCAATGTTTGGACGAACTGGCGGCTGCTGCTCCATCGATCAACCCGACCAATAACACGGCCAGGTAGCATCTGCCAATGGAAGCTCCGTCTTGGTAGCTGGGCAATCCCGTACGGACTATCTACGTAGCGTAGTAGCTTAGGTTGAATGACTGGATGGCCCAGTCAACAGCTGATAGGCGCATAGGGTCGAGACTTTGTCTGAGATGATGACTCTCAAAAGATTGCGGCGACAAGAGAAGTCGAGCAAAGGTTCATTGAGGCCCACGAAGAGCGAGACGTAGAAGCCCAAAGTGAGCAGAAGAGCGGATTGCATGTGACAGAAACAGCAACGGAGATGACGATGCGATGCTTGTCACTATTGTTATTGCCGGACTGTGTCTGTTTTTGGTCGTCAGTCTCCTCTCTGTCTGTCTCTATACGGAGAGAGTAGGTATCTATGCACCTGAAGTGAGCGCGAGGGATATGAGATGGAGTGAGCGGGTGAGGCGTGCGGCGCCTGAGTCCAAGGCGAAAGCTACAAGTGAGCCTCTGTCGGCCGCCGCTGTCGGTACATAGTCTTTACGGGGAATCCCGCGGCAAGTGGTAGGTATCTAACGGCAAAGTGTTTTGTAACTCGATCTCACCCGTGTTCCGTGTTCCTCGGCACGCATTCCCTCGAACCGAGCTGACCAGGATGATGACGGGGTGGTTCATCGGTCGTCTTGGAACCCACCCGCTCAACACTGACCACTTGGTGACTTTGTGACTTGTTGCCGGCGCGAGGGCGAGGGCGTGGGAGTCGGGAGAGGGCAGCCAGAGTCAAGCGTGAAGCGACATGTCAGAGAGCGTCGGACATGGACGACGGGTGAACCCCCGCGCCCCACGACGGAGCAATTGTGGTCCATTACCCATGGCCAGCTTTTTGATGGAGATTTCCTGTTCCTGTTCCTGTTCCAGTTCCAGCATCTGTTCCTGATTTCCAAGCAGATGCAAGACGCCCGTGCCCATAGAGTGCCAGTGCGACAAGTAGGTGCTGCGGCAGAGACTTGTCAGTGGCCGGATTTGGTATGTTGGACAAGGTGATGGCTGTGGTGGCGGGTGGTTGTGGTGATGGATGGGTCTTATTTGGTGGAGTGGGCGATGCAGTTCGCGTGTGTCTAATATCCGTGGCATACGGGTCTGATGTATCCGTACTTTGAATCCATATCCAATATCATCGGCGGTTGTTTCGAGCGAAGAGATTTTGTTATCTTTAGCACAGCAACCCTGTCTGCCGATGCGCTCACTCCGGCCTATTGAAAGGTAGAGGCGCGTATGGAGTATCCCGTACTTGGTATCCGTAACTCAGCCAACATCGGGGAGCGAAGGGCACTACGGAGTACTGGTTGATGGATCGTGGCAACAGGTGATGAAAGGGTGGTGCAGTTTGTGACACCTGAAGAGAGCAGCGTACATGTATCCGTACCCATATTCCGAGCCTGTCGTGGTTGGCACGGGCTCTTAAACGCGGTAGCCGTTGAATAATTCAAGTCTGGCTCAAGTGTCAAGTGATGAAAAGGCTTGTCGTCGTTGTGCGGTGAAGCATATCGAGTACCTACATAAAGATACACATAAAGTAATAGACTAGAGAAAGCAACCCATGCCGGATTGGCTGGATGCGTGTTAGACGCAAGGCAAGGTGAGGGAGGTGAGTTGGGTGAGTTGGGTGAGTTGGGTTGGTTGGATCGAGGTCTGCGAGATGTGGAGAGGGGGGAAGGGGTGGGAGGGGAGGGCGGGATGCAGGAGTCCTCTTCCCGCCCGCACTGGAGAAATCTACACCGGTACTCGAGAGTCGAGGGAACGGCACCCGAGAAGGGATCCTAACTTTTACCTTCCCATTAGCTAATGGAAACTTTGAAGGCACACTTGTGTTTGGTGTGTTAGCGATTGCCATCAAACGTCTAACGTCTAATGTCCGATGCCTAATGTTCTTGTTCAAACTCCAAAGAACCTTTCCCTTCTCTCCTTGATACACCTCACCTCGCCTCACAACACAACACACAACACACCTTGCCCCAGCGTAACACTTCGGAAGAAGAATCTCATCACACCGGATCACCCTCACTTCCACCCCAGTCCTTCCGGCCAGGGCCCTTTTCTCTAGAATGCTACAGAAGCACAGGCTACGGTGAACCATGGATTCATGGAAGCCTTGGCCTGCTTGTTGGGCTTGCTGCCTTCTGGACTAGCTGCGCCGTGGCGCCTCTGCACAGGAGCAACAGAGTGTGCCATTGCAGGATAGGTGCAGGGCATCGCATCCCCTCCGCCGTGCAACAGAACGGGCGGCGCTTTTGCTAGACCTTCCATGCAGACTTCGACGCGCCTTCTGCCGTCGGACCAGTCTGCTCAGAGGTCAACCACTTTCAACAGATGTGACTTGCAGGTCAGGCGTAAGCAAGTGCTTGCGAGAAGGGGGAAGGCCCAAGGGGAGAGAGCATGAGGGGGGGGGGGGGAGGCTTGCAGACGAAAGGATGGCGTTCTCCAGGCACACACTCAATCTCACCCACACACTCACACACACTCTCACTCTCACTCTCACTCACCATCACAGGCTCGCTCACCCACACCTCTCCACCATTATCTTTAGTACCTGCCTTCTGCCTTTCTTATCCTTCGGTGGCCGACGGCTTCCTTCGGTAACTCTAGGCAATAGGAAAGAAAGGCGGACGGGATGGGAAGTGAGTAGTGGCGCAGCGGGCGTCAAGCGTTCTGGAAGCTTTGCAAAGAACCTCACATTCCGATCTCGTTCTCGAACCTCATCTAGTCACCGGGGATGCGAGCCTCCTCTCTCTCTCTCTCTCTCTGTCTCTCTCTCACCTCACCTCGAACTCAACAGCGTTTAGCGCCCTTGGTCAAGCAGTACCTGCCACCCACACTTCTCATCACACTTTAGTAATGGGTTACTTACTGCACGTCTCTGAACCGCCATCCCGACTGCCGAGACTTGTCGTTGAGACCGTCGCAACGCAGAAGTCCACCTAGCTGCTTTGGCCTCACCCATCGCCGCCGTCCCATGTTCCCCTCGTCAACCTCGCTTGCGCCGCTGATGACATTTTTGCACGTTCAACTCACTTGGGCTACAACCTACCGGTATCAGGCGACATCAGCACCGCAAACACACATTCGCGGTAGTGTGACTAGAATCAGCAGCAATAGTCCGTCCTAGTATAATTGCCCTTCTACCAGGCCCTGCCAGCTCGACACGATGCGGATGTAGCGATCTCTCCGATGCTTGTTGACACAACTCCTCTTCTTCCGGACCTGGCGGCCTTGGCTTTTGCCTGCTTGGTTCCCTGATCACAGCATGCCAAAGGGCGCCTGGGATGCAATTATCCAAGTACAGATACCTGCTCGCTGGTTCTTCGTGTCTCAAATCTTGCAGGAGTAGCGCCACTGTCACGGTCCCCAGGACGTCCGTCCACACTGACACCCCGGGCTTCACTTCAGGATCCTGGATACCCAGTACCCAACAACTAATGCTGGCTGACGTTGCGTTGGTCCAGATGACAAACGTCCGCACTGACACCGCACGCCCCCATAGCCTTAGCTCGCTTCGCCCGCGAGAGCCAGGTGCACCTGTTCGCGCTCTGTCGGAATCCAACCTCGTCAACAACAACCCTTGAAGGATCAATATCAACGCAGCCCTGAGAGATTGAGAAACCAACATCGGAAACCCGTCAGCCAGCCATGAGTGCGGCAGAGCGACGGGATCGCCATCGTGGGGCTCGCCGGAGGTCGCCCCAGCTCTTTGCTCAGCGTCGGCCGTCTCCATTCATCACATGCTTTCCCCTATTTGCGAGTCTCGGCCGTTCCCTTCTCCATCTCTGCTATTTTGATAGTGTCCAATCCGCGCTCCGAGGTTGTCTTCAGAGCCCACTTCGGACCCGACCGACACCTCCTGCGTCCCTGCGTCCCCTAACCACCGACATTGATCAGCACTCTAGGCCTTGAACACCATAGCCCCTTGTCCCTGGGAGCCCCGAAGGGTAAAATAAAGGGTTTTTGCCCAACTTGATCTGATCTGGGCACAGAGTGGTTTACAGGACCCGGAGAATCGGCAGAATACGGCTTCAGCCACGCTTAAACCTGGCTAGAGGAAGCCCCCAACGCAACCTGAGTGACTCGAGAGAAGCCTTTCCAGAGCAACAAATCATTCAAGCCAAGAAAGACATGTTCACAACCATCCGTGAAGCTGCAGCCCGCGATTCATGATGATGCCTGCTGCGACTCGCCCCTGAGAGCTGAGTCTCAGTCTACGGGTATCGAGCTCCTCAAAGTGCAAAGTGCCCGTGCACACAATATTGGCTTCACAAACCAGTTCCAAGAACAGCAGGTTGGCAAAGTCTCCTTCTCAGAATGGACAATGAGAAGACCACCCCCATGATTCAGTATTGCCGTTCTGACTCCCGCTTGCTCAACTACCGCAAGGCTGGGGCTGTGCGAGACGGGATGTCGGGAGAAGCGCGTCCAGGAGTCTGGTTGACGTGCATTCGACAATCATCGTGAGACATGTCATTGCTACATGGCCCCAACCCACGCCGATGACGAGACGGTGCAGCAGAAGCGCGGACGATGCCTAGAAGGGCAGTTCAAACTTGGACCACTTCATCTTCCGTATCTCTGATATCGTATCCAGAGAGCAGAGGGTCATCGCACATGGTTTGACTTCTCCTTGATGTCACCCAAGATGGCGACGTCGTCGAGAGAACGTTCGCCAGCTTCCTCTCCTGCTGCACTCAGAGAAGTATCCTCTGGCAGTCGCAGCGACGATAGCACCAACCCTAATCAAGAACAGTCTGAACAGAGCAGCGATACACTTTCCGCCTAGCGCGGGGAATGCAGTTCGGAGCGCTAGAAGGACCGAGGAAGCATGCAGAGAAGCTCTCTCTCCAAACGCCATTTCAGAGTCAGGGGGGTGGTCTAAGCCTCACTCGATGCAAAAAGTCCTCAAGCCAGCCGTTAGCGTGGTGACCGGCTCATCCCCCCGTCGGCGAGTTAAATTCGACTTTGCCGTCTCCAAGTGTGCGCCTCCCGTCATCCGTCATCCGTCAACCGTCAAACCGTTCGTTCACCGCAACGCGCGAACTGCTCCGGCCAAAGGCAGCCAACCATAGCCAGTTGAAGAAAGGATCCTGTTGAAGCCCGGCTCGCTGCCGTCATCTGCTTCCTTTTCGCTCAATTTGTCTCCCCCCACCCCCATTCTTCGGTCTCGGGACGTGTGGCTTGTCCCCGTATCTGTTTGGTCAACGATTGGTTTACGTCTCTCTACCTAGCGATAGGGTAGTGCTGTGGGCGCTGCCGTTCGTTCGTACATAGGACCGTTCTTCACACATTGCCATATTCTACCCAACCATCACTCCTTCAGCACCCCTGATACCAGCTTAACTCTATCAGGCTCGAACAATGTGATTGGCTGCGGGTTGTTACGACCGCCAACACCATCTCCCGAGACATACCTACACACATCATGCCGGTTTTGTGGACGACGTCTAGGTTGGCGGCCATGGGCAGACTTCTCTTCCGTATGGCACCGGAGCAACATGGTGCGGGTTTTGGACACTGGCGGTTTGACGATTTGTGCCCAAATCAAAGCCATTTACTGGGTGGCAGGGTCAGGGTCTGGACGCTCTGTCTAGACAATGGACTCTGGACTTTACACTGCACGCTGTTGTCACTGTTTCTCAAGTGAGAGTGAGCCCACCGCCACTTCATCGAAACCCTAGAACCTGCCCCTCGATTCCACGCTAGGCCGGCCGGTGAAGGTGAGTAGAGGGGTGACCCCCAACCATCTCCGCCTGGGACTGATCATTCTCTCTCTCCATTTCCATTAGGACTGACATTATCGCGCTTGCCAGGGCTCCATGAAAGGTCTGGTGCAGGATGAACACGCAGACACCACGTACCTACAGTACATCACCCTTCTCTGAAGCTTGATCAGATCATTATGCAGACGGCCATGCATCGCTCAACCATTCCGTCTTGAAAGATCACCTGGGACGTCATCGTACCCCTTCGACAACAGCGCGAGCCTGGCCTTTTGATGATGGCATGCCCATAGAGTTCATCATCCCGCGCCGCCGCTGCTGTGGGAAAATGGGTGGTCTGCCAGCTGGCTCTGGCTCAAGAACCCCTGCTTAATATCAATCCTTGTCTATCGAGCCGCCAATTGCTTTTCTCTCCCCTTGAGCATCGACATCTTGCCAGACTTTTCCACCGACTGGTTCTGGCATGAAGAAAAGCGCCTGCCGCGATCCCTGCTCGGAAATTTGCTTCAGCACTGACAACGGCGGCTGTTTGGCAAGGTCGCTTCGATGTCCGGTGCGTCCAGAGGCCCCCGGTCAATGTCGGGCTACCCCCTGGTCTTATCCTCGGGGCTCTTTTAAAGCGTGGATTTGTTTATGTATAGCTGCGAAAAAGAAGGAAACATGGAAAAGATAGGTACTGGGCAAACTGGATTCCGTAAGCTCAAGCCAATCCCCGTATCCCCCTTATGCCTCGCTCTCATCGCACTCTCTTCGTATCTAGATGTCATGATCATCCCCCATCGGTCTGCTCATCACATCTCGTCGAATCGGCTCGCCTCACGCCTCGGACCTTGAACGATTTACCGCTATCTTATTGGCGCTGCAACGTTGCAATCACCGTCTTAACAGAGACAAGCGTGGTCCCGGGGACTAGCGAATGACAAGCGCCAACGACCGCCTCCAATAGTATCGATCAGAGACCGTGGGGTGGAGTAGACTTCATAAAGAGAATACCGTCGTTCGACCTCCAGTGTTTGGGACTCGATCGGTAGGAAAGTTGTGGAGGGTTCGGACGGCAAGAGTAGCCTGACTCTTCCTCAGGCCGATATGTCGGGCGTCCAGTTCAATCCCGCCGGTGGCAATCATCAATCCTTTCTTTTAGTCTATACTAATCGGTCCTGATGCAGTGGCCCGCTCGTAGCGACGAACGGCACAATTACGATTACGCAGCCGCAGCCTCGTCTGTCGTTTGATGCCTAGTCTATTTGTACTATCGGTTCCTTTACAAAGAGAACGACGTTTGCTGAGCCGTGGCAACCTTTCGAGCTTACATCAAGCTAGTTCGAGCTTCTCGATTATTCGGCCCTGGGAAACATCGTCAAGACTATTGATTTAGTTCTGGAAATCAGTAGTCTGCCTAACAAGTTACCGAGATACTGCACAGTCCGTCAATACTAAAGGCGATTGTGCTCGGGCGGGGTTGAGTTGACTACATACTACTTTTACGTACTGACACATAGGAAGGATCATCTTACCGCCGCTCGCTCACATGTCTTTGTATTCGTATATGTCTCTCTCGTTTTCAAGGGTTCACCAAGCGGGACTTTGAAGATCGGGGGTCTGGGCCAAATGTTTAAGGCAAGTTAAGCTCGTCGCGTGCCCTTCTGTTCGTCTCGTGCAACTTTCTTTCCCCGCAAACTGGATCGGGGTGGCATTCCGCGGCCATTGCTTTCCCTTGCCCCAGCATCAAGCTAGTCTTGCACGATTACCGACGGAGAGGTCGTTGACAGGACGCCATGACTAAAGATGGACCATGAATTTGCTAATGCCAATGTCACGCGTGCCAACGACCCGTCGACCCCTTCCTTCCGCAAGATACACGGAGACGGTAGACCAGATCAGCGGAGGCGGCAAGGCGGCTTTTGACGTTCAAGCATTTCGACCGTTGGGCGATTTGCATGTAGCAATCTAAGGCCGGGGAAGGGGCGTGGTTTTGCGGACGAGGCCCTTGATGCGGGTTCGTTGACCGTTGTTTTCCCCGCATTTAATTCCCCTTTCACAACGCCAGCATGGACGAGTTAGCCTCACGGTCGTTTCTATGGACGATGTCGTCGTCAAAGGGCTAGCCGGCACGCTATCTCGAGTCCCTTTTCTTGGCGGTTCTCCGACTCGGCTTCGTTCAAGATTAGAGGGGGGAGGATATCATCGGGAGTGGACGGGGGACCTTGATTCCAATCACTTCTTGCTCGTTCGCCCTTTTGCCTTTCGAGCATCGTTGTCCTTCACACCACGGGTCCCCTTGCCAGGTTCATCATGTGGCGTTTCACACGTCCTCGAAAAACGAAGATCGTGGCTGGGCCCAGAAGTCGACTGTGGCAGTATCCCCGAGGCAGGTGTGTGTTGTGTACGTGTGAACAAGCGTGTGCCTGCGTTCCCTCTTTTCCAGGAACGTATGCGAGAAATTCAAACGGCTCCCTGCCGGCGGCCGTACCCTACCTACCCTAATCACTTCTCATCCCACTCGATGCCCTTTCTTTTGCCTTGGTCAACAGCTTGTGAGAGATACGTCAGTCGTCACAGGAAACCTGGAGTGTGAAGTCTATACTGACGGGCCAGCCTCTTTCCCTAACTAAACCTCGCTGCCCCCACCCACCCCAAGTCCTCGAGCTCTTTGCCTGATTTGGATCCGATGGAGAAGTAGGAACCAGGACCATGCGGGGTGTGGTTCTTCTTGCTCGAGCAGTGTGTGGTGGTGCGGCCACGACCCCCCGCTTGGCTTCCACAAAAGTTCCCAGCCCGGCTGCCGCAGGCCCGCATCGGCACAGGGGTGCGGCGCGAGGGGAATGGGACGCACATCATGTACGCACGGGTGTGGTGGACATCTTTGCTTGTTGTTGAAGCTGTGGCTATCCTCTCGTCTACGCAGCCAGAGAAAGGTACCTCCCTCAGCAAGCATCCCACAGGACCCTTTTCCTGGTCTTCCTGCTAGGCTCCTGTCAGGAGGCTGTTTTCGAAATTCGGGAGGGCGTCAACTGTCACGTCAGGCTAAAGGTGATGAGGTTCTTTTGTAACCCCTCGGACGTTTCTCTTTCTCGCTTGGGTATACTTTCCGGTCTCTCTCTCTGTGTCTCTCTTCCTCTCCCCTTCTCCGTCTTGTTGCGAAAACAGCTGGGCCATGTATCGATGCTGCCAGAGAGAATTAGAAAGAAAGGTCCATGTATGCAACCCTACCCGGCGATGTTCTACCTACTTCGACCCAATGAGATGAATTGGAGACGAAGGGGTGGTGGTCTGGCCCTGGACCCTTTTCCCTCTCCCACCTCTGGGCTTCTGGGCGGCGACTACAGCAAAGCGTGACTTTCTCGAGATCTACCCAAGCTTCGCTGAAGATGGTGAGAGATTCTCGGTCTCTGACGCGGACGACTTTTGCGCATCTCTGGGCATCCCATTCATATCAGAGTGCCCCCTCCCCTCCACCCCTCGAGATGTGCGCCTTCCCAGTAGGAAAATCGATTCGCTGATCCGCGACATCGGACGATGTTATTGCCATCTGTGGGTAGCGGTAGTGGTAATCGTCTCCATCGCCACACCTTCTCTCGAGGTCTAAAATGGAATCAGGAATTCTGGACCTCTCTCTACCTCTTCCTCTCTCTCCGTGTGTCCACCAGATGTCGATGTCTAGACCTCGAGACCGGCACCAGGGTCTTTTCGCCCCTCCTCTCCCCGTTGCCGTTGCCGGCCCGCAAACGGGGCCCGGGTGCGTCACAATGGCACGCAAGATCGCCGCTCCCCCAAGGTCCTCGCTGTTGTTGTGTTTTTGGGTCATGTCCTGATGTTGGATGGATCCAGAGGAACCTCAAAGTGAAGCGGCAATTGCATGTTTGGTACTAGGTACTGCACCTCTGTAGGTTCAAATGTCTTGGCTGCAACTGTCAACTTTCACAAGCATGAAGAATTCCATTAAAAAACAAGCAAGCAGCAGTACCGGCCGGAGTGGACCAAGCTCTTGGTGAAAGTGCCGCTGGTGTTACCGCACATGTTGAGAGAGGAGGATGTCCAATAATACGGAGATGCATGGGAAAGCCAAGCCGGCGGCTCTGGAATCAGTGTTTTCGTATTGCTCTTGGTCATTGTTGATAGAATTACGAGTGAAGAGAAAATTTTGCAACTTCCGCAATTCTCTCTTTGAATGGCGTTATACAGCACTAATCCAAATGCCATCTCCTTCTTCTTATTTTACTTTACTTGATTCTCATTTCTCTTCCTTCCCCTGCTCGTCAAAAGTTCGTTCGTCCCGCTTCGCGCCATTCTCTGGGCATTTCCTCATTGTTGCCTCCCCCCTTCTCCGAGCCTTGCCTTTCTGCATCTGTAGGTCCGAGGCAAATCTGGCGTTACAGTGACACGACAGGCAAGAAGAGGAAGAAGGCAAAAGATGAAGAAAAGGCGACATGGCCAACCTAGTTTCTATTACTTGATCGTCTCCGGCACTTGGGGGGCGTGTGCTCTTCAAGCGAGAAGCATTGGGCAGCTGGGCACGCGATGAAGTCCCATAACTATGGGGTCGAGGATGTGGGTGAAGAGACGCATTGTGCATTGTGCAATGCCGCAAAAAAAAAACGCGCACGACCCAGGGGGCGTGAGCCAGATTACACGACTCTTTGTCTCTGTCTCTGCCTCTGTCTCTGCACGCCCACGAGAGGGAAAATCTTGGCGTTTTCCACTGTTCATCTGCGGTGGGACGAGATGAGGCAGTGGGTGATGGAGCCTTGTGTGACTGTGAGTCGCCGCCGTGGGGGGCTCCTGGTTTCATTTGCGTGGCAGCACATGGCAGAATATCTCTTTCTATGTTCTGGATCTTGGGAAAGGAGAGATATCGAGATGAAATGGAAGGGGGAAGCTTTTGTTGTCCTGGCAGCGTTCTCGTGTTCTGCGGGTGAACGGGGACTAAGTAGTCTTCGAAGATATTGATAGCAAACTAGACGTTGATGCATTAGAGATCAGTTTCAGACCGTATGAGCAGGATGTTTAGTGTCCGTACACGCTCTGTGACTATCATTGAGCTCTAACCGATATGTGTATGACAGTATGAATCGTCCTGACCGCGGCTTGTGGTATAGTTCCGCCGTTTGTATGGCTTGATGTATCACGTTGTCTAAGATTCCGAGTCAAGATGGAGGTCTTTAGTTGTTGGTGTTTAAGTGCTATACTCTGCAAGCACCAAGACAGACTAATTCCTTGGGATTCACTCTGTCTCAGTTCACTATCCTGTCTCCATTGTCAACTCCATGGATCATGATTCGGGAAGCGAATGAGTTGAAGCTCGGCTAATCCTGTTTATTGGATCGTGATTTACTTCTTGTTCCATAATATCATGCCTCATAAGACTCTTGATCATGCCCTAAAATGTGATTGTATGCCACGCTCGTCTCTCTTTAATGGACATGGGCATCTGACGTTGCGGGGGGTCCGTGAGTGGCTTCACGTCGACATATGCCCGAAGCCTCCTCGCTCTTATGATTTCAACTCGTAAAGTCTCCAACTTTCAGTATTATGACCATGACTCTGGTATCGGAAAGGATGCTCCTCTCCGTCAAGCTAAGGCATGTAGCATCTACCGGCCTGTATGGACAGATTGGGAGGCTGCGTGAATCGGCGAGACCTACCGTCTTCGCTTCCTACTTTGCAATGGATGAAACCAGCTGTCTTAACACTCGAAGACCGATATCGAATAAGTTTGAATACGTCTATAGCAATAGCCGATTCGCTTTGAACTTAGGCTTTTGCGTCCCTGGCCCGATACACCTCGTCTGGAGGGCAAAGTCTAGAATGTCGACCGTGGTTGAGAATTTGTGAAAGGGATTTGTAACCAAGAAATCGTGATTCAATCCAGGGGATCACTCGTAAGGGAGAAGGCAGAACGCATGCTCTCAAGCGATAAACCCTTACGTACGTGGAGCCTCATATTCTATGCCTGGTGTGCTTACGGCTTTCGCTAGCTGCTGAGATCGATCTCAGATGCATTGGAGTTTCAAAGGAGATTTCATAACGTGATAATATTTTACAAGCGGGATGATGTGAGTTCGTACCATACGACTAGTGCTTATTTGCTTAAGCAAATGTACGCATTACACTGAATTGTGGGTTGCAGATATGAATATCAAGTTGGAGCTTCACAAAGTATCACTGCCATTTTCTTGGACCAAAAGTATTGTATTCCCGTTATGAGACGGATTCCTATTCCATTTGACAACTCAACATCTGAAGGCCATTTATTACTCACTGATGATGATTGTTCAAGAGTGATATCACCGAATGAGATTGGACTTTTCAGTGTTAGTCGATGGTTCACTGTTGTCTAGAAAGTAATTTACTACGTGTACGTGTAGCCGCTCACCAAAAACAGCAATGAGGTTCTTTATGGCGTTGAGAATCCTATGAAGCATGTTTTGAGCGGTAACTGAACATTCCAAGCCCTTATACGGTGAACTTATGTTGTTTTTGTACAACATCGAAGGTTCCACCGAAATAGCCCAAAAAAGAATGAGGCCTCTCTTCCGGCGGCAAAGTGCCACTCGTCGAGTCCCTCGAGACTGAAAATACTGATAGAGTTGCAAATCACCGGTATTAAAAAAAGTGATTTCGCAAAACGAAGCAGCAAGGAAGCTAAACATCGTGTTTGGTCACTTGGGCCAGTAGTGGCATATCTCTTCTTCGCGCATTTGAGAACACCACCAGTTCTACGCACGCTTAGCAGAGAATCGTCGTCTATCATGGTCGCTCGGCTTCCTGCCCAACATTGAGTCGTTTAAGCACCGCCAATATTGAGGATGAAAATCTAGAGTGGTGTATTGTGAAAGCACTTCTGTAAGCTGCCATAATGAGACATGTGGTTCACTGTTGAGTAGCGAGGAATAGCGTCGTTATTTAATCTCAAATTCAGGCTGGAATGAGGTGCTCTTCTGTTCTGCATCAAGTCTAGGAGCCGTCAACTCCAACGGGGAACTCAAGGAAGAGGCCATTTGGGCCTGGGGTACCTTGAACAGGGCCAAAGACCAACGATTGCCGATTATGCTGTTGCAGAGGAGTGCTTTACCCTTCAAGTGGTTACGAGGAGTTGGGTCTTTGGCCTAGAGAAACTTCCACGGCGAGGATCTAAGCCATCATAGCCAATATTAACTAGAATCGGCTTCACAAAGTGATGAGGAGAGACTGTAAGAAACGATTACTTTTGGACAGTTGTTAGTAACTGCTGAAATGCAATAGGGAAAGCGACCCGGTCATCCTTCCATTCGTGGATCGGAGCCAAATATCCTGCTAATGGTAACGGCATTGATGTGCGTAAAACCAGAACCATCTTGCCTCCAAATTTCAAGACCAAATTCCACGGGTACAGGATGAATTCTCTACCTCTCACAGAGGCTAGCAGTGACATTCAATGATGAGCATGAGTTGGCTTATGCTTTTCCTACTGATAACATGAAGCTGTACAAGTCTGATAATGACTCATTTTGGGATCATCTTTGAGTTGTCACCTCGTCTCAACAAGTTCATAGAGACATGTAACAGAACAAATCACTATATTGATTCATGTTGTTGATTATCCTCCGTACTAGACTAAACCGAAGGGAGTCGGACGTTTGTCAACTACACTACGAGACCTGCGCGTATGGCTCGGATTTTCCCGAACAAAACACAACAGGACCCCATAGTCCGCAGCTGAACGCACTCTGGGTATCATTCTCTCCTTCTCGCGTTTATTTCTTCTCCAGCTCGTCGATGATGGGCTTCTCCAAGCTCTCGGGCTTGGTGGTGCTGGCCCAGCGGCCCTTGACCGCGCCGTCGCGGCCGATGAGGAACTTTTCAAAGTTCCACTTGATGCGCTTGAGGCCCATGATGCCGGGCTTCTCCTCCTTGAGCCACTGGAAGAGGGGGTTGGCGGCGTCGCCGTTGACGTCAATCTTTTGCATGATGGGGAAGGAGACGCCGTAGTTGACCTGGCAAAAGTTCTGGATCTCGTCATCGGAGCCGGGCTCCTGGCCGCCAAACTGGTTGCAGGGGAAGCCGAGGATGACAAAGTCGTCGCCGTGCTTCTCCTTGATGCCCTTGTAGAGCGTCTCGAGGCCGGCGTACTGCGGGGTGAAGCCGCACTTGGAGGCGGTGTTGACGACGAGGACGACCTTGCCCTTGTAGTCGGCGAGGGGGACCTCTTGGCCGCGCTCTGTTTTGAAGGGGAAATGCATGTCAGCCAACTCGTCGTAGTCATGTTGATTGGTTAGCGCGCAATGGTCGAATTACACGTACTGTCCAAGGGCTTGAAGTCGTAGAAGCCTGTTGCGGAAGCCATTGCTGCGGTTGTGTGGATTTGTTGTTGCTTTTCTGCGATAGCTCTTAGATTACCCCGCAATTGGATCTTGTTGATGAGTTGCGGTCGCTTTGGCGATGATGCACAAGTTTTGAGTGAGTTGATGAAGGGAAGAAAAAAACTTGGATGATGCACAGCTACAGAAGCAACAGTGGAAGTTGTTATGGGAGAGAAGGCTCTGGTATGTAGTTGACGAAACATGCCATGCGTGACGCCACGAGGGAGGGATTGGGTGATGCAGGGTCGGGAAGGGAAGTACGTCGTCCTTTCCTGTCACGCCTGTTGGGTCCCTTTGCCAGTGTGCTGCCGGGACAAAGTTTCAATCCGGTTTCCAATGGGTCCCCGGGCACGGGCGTGCACTCGCATCGAAGCCACACCAACAGACTACTGTGTATCCGTATTTGCCTACGGATACCTTCCATTACCGTTAGTGTTGCACCATCACACTACCAACGCCTCCACAGAGCTGCACTTTGACACCTCGAATGGGCCAGAACAAGAGGGGCACGACGGGGTCTTCGGTCGAAAGTGGGGCTCTATCACGATGGATGCGGGAGGGTCGACAAGCTCTGCATCGGCCGAGGTACGGGACGGCATGTCCTGGTTCCGTTTTGTTTCACTCCAGACATCCCAATGTCACAGCTTGTCTTTGGTGATAAGATGACTACGCAGTACAGGTATCAAACAGTGCATCACAAATCTCAGTTCCCATAGCAAGCTCTGCTCCTAAGATTCTTGTTCGAGGTCAACCAGCAGATTTCGTCTTTGGCAGCTCATTGACTTGACAATACTGAATCACGACTTCGGATTCCTGAAGCGAACGCGAGACCCGGCTTTTCATGTGAGAGTGGAGCCAGTCGGTTGAATTCGTTGTTCCGGTGCCCGAGTCCGCCAGTCCAGCCGGATTTGAACCTTCAACTTTTGCAAGTTTGTCCAGCACCAACTTTGAAGTCCGGGTCTTCCGTGGCGGCCAGACTTCCCGAGTCGAGGCAAGAACGCCGATGAGGCCGGGGTGAAGCTCCCTCGCCACAACGTTATCGGCACTTAGCCACCCACTGATTGTTAATTACTAAGCAGACCGGAGCCGAGCCGAAGCGGATCAATGCTTGTTCCGTCATAGCTCCCTCACCGAGGTGATTTCCATATTTGGAATGCAAGCTCCATCCTGGGCCAATTACCGTGCCGGACTCTCTCAGTGCAATTTTTCCAATCACCAGCACGCGAATCAACTGAATCACGTCAGGGTGCACAAGGCTTTGCTGCAACCCATTGCGGATACGGCTACCTACCTAATTACTCCAAAGTCCAAAGTACCTAGAATTGGGGGGGGGCCCGCAACCCGGCCGCGGTCTCGTTCTATCAACGTCCCGCCGCTATCACCACCCGCTATCGATAAGGAACTACCCCGCCTCGGACCGTGCTCTCGAAGGAGCTCGAGCGCGAGCCCAGCCAGCAGCGTGGGACCGCCGCCCCATGGGGTGTGACGAAATATGCCCGCCGTCAGGAAGAAGACGAAGAAGCAGCGGCGGGAGAAACGACAACTCGACATTGCAAGACGGATACTCGTGGAAGAGGCCCTGTCGACACTAACACCGCCCCTGCCAGCCATGGATCCCCAAGCGAAGCGCAACATTGTCATCGTCGGTACGTCTACAACACAACAGGGTCGTCGTCGTCGCCGCTTCGGGTAGACTGATATGAAAGGGACGACACTTACAGGTGGCGGCATCATCGGTTCCACAACAGCCTACTTCCTCACCAGACACCCGAAATACAACCCCGCCCTCCACCGCATCACCATCCTCGAGGCCACCGCCATCGCCTCAGGCGCCTCCGGCAAAGCGGGCGGCCTGCTCGCCCTCTGGGCCTACCCGTCCTGCCTCGTCCCGCTCTCCTACCGCCTGCACAAGGAGCTCGCGGCAGAGCACGGCGGCGAGAAGAGATGGGGCTACCGGCGCGTCAACTGCGGCAGCTTCGAGGCCCGCGTCACGAAGCAGACGCTCGAGAACGTGAAGCAAGCCGCCGTGAAACCCGAAGCGGTCGCGCCCGGCGCCAATGACGGCGAGCAGGAAAAGGGGTGGGAGAGGCTGCCGAAGCAGGACGAGGCCGCCGAGGCCATGTTACGGGATTCAGGCATGCCGGGGGACCTCGACTGGATCGATCACGCCGCCGTCGAGACGTACGCCGAGATGGGCCGGCCCGGGGCCACGGAGACGGCGCAGGTGCACCCGTACGACTTCACCACGTCCATGGCGGTGCTGGCGCAGGAAAAGGGCGTCGAGGTGCGGACCAACGCGCAGCTGAAGAGGATTATCCCCGGTGAGGATCGCGTCAAGAGCGTCGAGTACCTCGACCGCGAGACCAACGAGACCCGGACCATCGACGACGTGACGGACGTTCTGGTCTCCGCGGGCCCCTGGACCGGCCGCCTGCTGCCGCGGTCCAAGGTCACGGGCCTGCGGGCCCACAGCGTCGTCTACAATGCCGACGTCAGCCCATACGCCGTCTTCACCAGCATCAAGCTCCCGGCCGACTTTGTGCCCGAGCACCGGGTCAGTAAAGGCCAAAAGAGGAAACACAAGCGCGTCGTCGACCCTGAGATTTACGCGCGGCCGTACGGCGAGGTGTATGCATGTGGTTGGTGACCCTTCTCCCCCTTTTCTCATACATTCCCCTCTCCCTCTCTTTTCAGATGGCAGACGGGGACCCAAAATCTTGGCAACATGAAAACTCACAGCAAATACCCCAAACTCTAGGCGAACCAGACCAGGACGCACCCCTTCCAGAGACAGCAGACAAGGTCCAAGTAGACGAAGCCAACTGCGACGACATCATCTCGTACATCGCCACCGTCAGCCCGGCCCTGGCGGCCGCCTCCATCAAGGCGAAGCAGGCGTGCTACTTGCCCCAACACGAGTCCGGGCCCCTCATCGGCGCGACGTCGGTGCCGGGCCTGTGGCTCGCGGCCGGCCACACGTGCTGGGGTATCCAGAACGGTCCCGCGACGGGGAAGCTCATGTCTGAGTATATACTCGACGGCAAGACCGCCAGCGCCGATATCTCGGAGCTGGACCCGAGGCGGTATAGAGTCTAGATGTTCGGTGACTGGTGTAGAGCAGAGCAGCAGAAGTGCAGTTTTAGTACTTGGTACCGTTGCTGCATGGCAATAGAAAACAAGGTAGAGAGACACATGATTAATGAAACACGAACAATTATTGAAAAATTCATAAAATCTATTATGAGGTTCCCCTAGGAATGCTCAGTCCTGAGGACAATATCTCTGACTATGCGCTCCTCCTAGTTCAAGAGTAGTTGATAATGGTACCAAAAGATGCAACCTCTCATCCCAAATCGTTATTTCCGCGCCCAAAAACTCCCTGTAAAACTATCGATAGATGCCGACCCAGTTTGTCTTTTTTTTGGGGGGGGGGGGGGGGGGTGAGGTTACAGAGTCCGAGTTATGTCAGAGCTAAGTGCCTTGGTGAGAGGTGGGGATACCAAAGAGCTCGGTACATCATCACCCCGGATATTCTTCCGAGACCTAGCCCGGGAAACACACCCCCACGGCCGTGATCGGTGGTAGGGACGTTTTACCCCACCATCCGCCACGCCGGGCACAAAAAAGTTGCCCGCACGCCTAGGTCATTTTTTCTCTCATGAAATCATGAGAACCAGGAAAGTACTCCCCAATTAGAGAGAGTTCTCAATATCCATGACCTCCTTGATGCCCTCCTCAATAGAAGAGGTACGGGCCTTCTCCAGACGTCTCAGAGGCCGTCTGGGGAAACCTCCGTAGCCGTAGTAGCTCTGGATGGCGCCCTTGGTGCCGGCGATGGCGGCCTTTGTCAGGAACCAGTCGCCGCGGCTGAGCTTCTTCTGGAGCTCAATGGCCTCGTCCCTCTTGCCCTCCGAGTAGAGGTTCCACACCTTGACGCAGACCTTGGGCATGACGTTGGCGCCGCCGGCGATGATGCCACTGCCGCCGCTGGCGAGGGTCTGGGCCGTGAAGTCGCACATGCCGCCAAAGGCCATGTAGCCAGAGCCTTCTGACCAAGGGGTCTTTGCGTCGGTGGCGAGGGCCACGCGGGTGAGCTTGCCCGTGTTGCCGCAGGTGAACTTTGTGCCGACGATGTTGGGGTGCGCGGCCAGCTTGATGAGCAGGTCGCTGTCCATATCGATGCCGGAGACGGCGCCGGGGTAGTTGTAGAGGATGAGGGGGATGGGGCTCTGGTCGGCGACGGCGATGAAGTAGTCGTGGATGGCCTGCTCGTCCATCTGGGCGCGGAAGTAGGAGGGGGGGAGGATGAGAGAGTAGTCGGCGCCGACCTCGAGGGCGGCCTTGGAGAGCTCAATGGTGCCACGGACACTGCCCTCGGTGGCACCGAGGATGATGGGGGTGCTCTGGAATCCGGCGGCGTCGAGAGCCTCACGGGTGGCCTTGGTCACGGCCAGCTTCTCCTCGCGTGTGCAGTGGGCAGCCTCTCCGTTGGAGCCCATGACGACCAGACCGGCGAGACCAGCCTTTGCCAGACGCTCGGCGTGCTTCTTGATGGTAGGGATGTCGAGATCTTCCGTCTCGGGGTCGAAGAAGGTCATGGTGGGGGCGTAGATGCCGACGGGGAGGGGGCGGCGAGCGCCACTGCTTCCGTTGGAGACGGTCATGATGGGCTGGTATGGTGGGTGAGCTGGATGAATGAGAGAGAGCTGTGAGCAAAGTGTGGTGAGAGGGGTAGGTTGGAGAGGTGAAGAGCACAAGAGAGGAGTTGAATGGGTGTTGAGAAGAGGTGAGAGGTAACACGTACGAGAGAGACGGGTAGAGGCCGGTGTTGTATTTATAGAAGAGATTGAGAGAAAGAAGAGAGACGACGAGGAGGACGGGAAGGTTTCCGTGAGCTAATGGGCTTGTTCCAGTATCAGCAAGCCCGCGTGGGGTGGGATGAGTCTAGAAATAAATATTTGACGTGTCGCGAGGGACTTGCTCGTGTGGACATTGGCCCGAACTATCGAGCATCGTGTAGACTCAAAGCCAAGACCGGAGAAGCTAACAACTGCACGACGGAGCCACCTTGGGACGCTCCCTTGCACCCCCAGTTGGGGAGAGATGGGGAGGGGGAGGGGCAATCGGAAACTAGACGAGAAGAACGCTAAGAGAGATGGAGAAGGGGGTGGAGTGTGCAGAGAGTCGAGGTGCATCGCCGGTACTGCGGCAAGCGGTTCCTGTTTCCAGGTTGTTTAACGACGAGACTTTGATGTCCGATTTCTACTTTACTCTTCCATGGCCCTCGTTAGCCTACGACCTAGAACACCGATGGTCAAACTACAGATGTGCAGGTGACTTGAGTGAAGAGATCAACAGCATTGGTGAGTATGAAGCCGGCTCGCTGCGTCTCAGTCCCACCGCGAGGAGGACTTCTCTGGGCTCTCAGCCATGGCGGGGTATTTTCAGACGTCGAGAAAAGACAGCCGTCACAAGACGAGAGAGATCCGAGACAAGCAAGGGACTTCCCTTGAATGCCCGATCCATCCAACATCGCCCACCCACGTCCGTAGTCCGTGGCTCCGGTTGATAAACGGTAGCGAATCTGCACCTGCTGTAAGATGTAGCCCTGTGTCGAGGACAGGATCTGCTGGGAAGATGGATTGCGCCAATGAGCCAGATGCTCCCGGCCGATGCCACGAGATCTGCACGGAGGCAGCCAGTGCAGGGCTGGGTGATGTCCAAAATCTGAAATCGTGCGTGGAGGGTAACGCCAGACGGCGATGGGAGAGAAGCCATCATTGGGAGAGCTGTCGTCCAGCCATGCAACACAAGGCTCGTCAAGCCCGTCCTGAGCATTAGCGCCGAACTGGGACATGCACATCTGCAGGCTGGAGGGTGCCTGGCAAATCATCCGGCGATTGGTAGCCCAGTCTCGGGGTTGCTCGCCCGTCGTGCATGACTTGAACTTTTTCCCGTCGTCATCTTTCTTCTGACCTATCGACCGCCAGAAAGACGGTGGCCGCACTAAGCGGCACATTAGAGACGATGAAAGTGACGAGAGCCACAACAGCAGTGGAGTTTGGTCTTGAAGGTACCGAAGCCCTTCAGTCAGCATCAGATGGTGGAGTCGACGATTTGCTTTGCTCTGTATCTGGAGACAAGCAACAGTAGGCCATGCTCTGCGCCAGCCATGGCCGTCCTTCTGGCAGGTCCCGGTCACTGCCGGTCAGCTCCGGTGACCGCAGCCGGTGGCCGGCGGGAGAAAGCCGGCATGGGCTTTGAAACTGTCGAGCATCTAGTAGATGGCGCAGTGCATCGCTGTAACCTCTTCGCAACGATATGCGCGTGGCTGGCCGGCGATACGAAGAGGTGGATGAAGTTTGGCATGGATTTGTGCGGCGTTGGAGTGTTGGAGAAGGTTGGAAGTGATGGAAATGGAAGTCACCTGAGTGGACGGAGAAACTAGGTCAAAGATCTTCCGCCAATAGGAAGCAGAGAATCATGTCTTTTGGCAGGGTAGGTGGAGTGTCCTCGACTGCTCGACTGAGTGGAGGTATCGCGGTACCTTAGCTTCAGAGTTGGAGCAGGCATGGAGGGGCACGAGGGGTCCAGCCATCGGGGCTGGAACTAAGACTCATTCACGATCAATTTAAAATGCTTGTAAATACCTAGTCAAGGCGTAGAGAATCTGAAGTTCTGAAGATGTTGTCAAGGTGGGTGTGACCTGGGGTCGACGTTCTGGAGCAGAAGTAGCATCATGAGAAGGCTTGTAAGTAAGTACCTTGGAGAATAAGGTAATGAATGTGATGAAGACACTTCCGAAAGTCCAATATTCGGGTAAAGTCGCGCAAAATATTAATCAAGCATTGGTAATGTCGCAGGAAGTGAAACTCAAGTCTGTGGACTGCTAGCCGATACAATCACAATCTTTTAGCCGGTAGGAGAGGGATTAAATATCGGATTCTGCATGCGATGTGTCTTGTGCAGGAGAAGGATCCCATCGCCTGGTTTTCCTCGGAGCAGGATACCATGATGCGTGTTCCGGAAAGAATATCACTGCATCAGCATCTCTCAATGGCATTCTACGATCGACAATTCTGTCCGGCAGGAATACTGCGTCCGACGGTCTACGGATGCCTTGGTAGTTTCTTTGGATTTCTACTTACCTTAGGTATTTTGTACCAGCGGTCATCCATGTCACGAGTTGACGCGGGGCAGATGGGGCGTGGGGGTGGGGAATGGAGCCAGGAAAAAGATACTTACACCGGCTGTCTTGTCGATACACACAGCAGTGAACTTGTGTCTCTGTGGGCGTGTGAAGACCGTCCAGGTAAACTTTGTCAAGCGTAAATCAGACTTTGATAAGATTAGTTTCCTTTCCTAAACCTTTCAACTCAACTCAAGAAAGACCGACTGTCCAACATTGATCGGGCTCGCTCTCGGCTCTCAGAAACTTTGGTCCGGGTTGAGTATTCTGGGGTTGACTTCTCTGTGATATGGTCCCCTCAACCATGGGATAACAGGTAGGTAATTACCGGCGTTAATTGCTCCAACTGGCCAGCAATTGACCACCCCATTCATGCAAATTGGCATTATTTTCCATTGCCAAATCCACACGTTACTAGGCCAGCTACTAGCACGAAGTGAGGTACACCCGTTGACCCCAATGGAAGAGCGGCACGACGCTGCCCCACACTTGAGATTCCCACGGCCCCTCCCCCTCCCCCTCATTCCACTTTTTTCTGCCCCTCCATATTTCTCTTACTCTTCAGTCGCAAAGCCGCAACTTGCTAATAGCTTCACTTTCGGTATTTCTCTGGTCAATGACACAAGAAATAGACAGAGAAAACTTCAAGGGAAAATCGATTACTAATTTTCTCTAGTTTCATTGAATTTTTCAAGCCTCGTCATGATTACCTGGCAAACAGGCGTGACGGCGCATCCTCCGTCGTGGGCTTATATCGGCCGGTGCGCCCCCTCCGAACACCGGCGTCAACGGCACCGTCGCTTCGGTCATGCTCGGGATGTGTTTCCGGCGACGGCAACATGCCTTTTTTCTCTTGCTGCCTTATTTACCATACGCTAGGGACAAATTTCCACTATCGTCATCAGCAGTTCTCTGCAAGCCTCTCTTACTTCCGCAATATACTCCTTCTCCAAGTTGATGCTCATCAACGCTGAAGAACGAACCGTGCATATGCCATGCAACTCGTTCGCTCTTCCAACAGTCTCAATTTGGTCTGACAAAACAAGCCAAGAGAAGCCAACGCAGCACATCATCCCAAAGGACTTCCTATAATTGTCTCCATCGTACTATCTGAGCGGATAAGTCAAGCGTCTGGGCTGGGGGAGCTGACGCACGGCGGAGTGCGGGGCAGATAAATCCCTCCAATTGTCTTTCCCCCTCCTCTGCCCCTCAATTTTTCCGGGCCCAGCTTTGTCGTGGAGTAGCTACGAGACGTGACGGAGACGAGACGGGAGCTCCTCCTTGGTCGCCATGCTACGGCGAGCTTCATCCCAAGGTAGAAAAAAAAAGACATTCTTGGCCTGCCCATTATTACCCGTTGCCTCTCTCGTCTGTGCTGTCTCTCGCTGCGTCTCGCCCGAGCTGTTGTGCTGCTTAGTCCATTGACACGTTCCCACCCCTCTCTTATATAGACCATAACTTTCGCCGTCCGTCCTAGCTCCAGGAAGTTCCTCTTCTCCATTCCCTCCCAAACCCTCATCTCCCTCACACGCAACATTTCCAACCCATTGAAAGAAAAGACGCGACTAAGATGGAGCCTCTCAACGTCTTGATGGTAAGCCAATTCACAATCGTCTGGCTCAGTTCCACTTACTGATCCTACCATCACCAGGTTGGTACCGGAGAGTACACCACCGGCTTCGTCGGTGGCGGTGCCTCTGGCTCAGACAAGAAGGTGGGCGTCGTCGGCCTGACTCTCTTCGACCTGAGGAGAAGAGGCAAGGTCAACCAGTTGGGCATGGTTGGTGTCAATGGCACAAAGTTCCCCGCTATCAGTACGTAGACTCTACTCCCCAGGCAAATCTATTTGAAGTGACACGCTAACTGGCCGAAGGGGAACATCTCAACAAGAACATTACCCAGGCCTACAACGGCCTGGACACCTCCTTCGACTCCTACCCTGCCAACGACAAGAAGGACCCCGACTCCTACAAGACGGCCATCGACGCCCTCAAGGCCGGCGACGCCATCACCATCTTCACCCCCGACACCACTCACTACCCCATCGCCCTCTACGCCATCGAGCGCGGCATCCACGTGCTCCTGACTAAGCCCGCCGTCAAGGACCTAGAGCACCACCAGGCCCTCATCGAGGCCGCAGACAAGAAGGGCGTCTACGTCTTCATCGAGCACCACAAGCGCTTCGACCCGGCCTACTCAGACGCCCGCTTCAAGGCCCAGAAGCTCGGTGACTTCAACTACTTTTACAGCTACATGTCCCAGCCCAAGTCCCAGCTCGAGACCTTCAAGGCCTGGGCCGGCGTCGACTCGGACATCTCCTACTACCTCAACAGCCACCACGTCGACATTTGCGACTCCATGGTCACCCAGCAGGGCTTCGTCCCCGTCAAGGTCTCCGCCTCGGCGTCAAAGGGCATCGCCACCGACCTCGGCTGCGACCCGGCCACCGAGGACACAATCTCCGTCCTCGTCCACTGGGAGAAGAAGGGCGACCCCAGCAAGAAGGCCACGGGCGTCTACACCGCCAGCTGGACCGCGCCCCAGCGCGCGGGAGTCCACTCGAACCAGTACTTCCACTACCTCGCTGCCAACGGCGAAATCCGCGTCGACCAGGCCAAGCGCGGCTACGACGTCGCCGACGACTCGGCGGGCCAGCTCATGTGGTACAACCCCTTTTACATGCGCTACGCGCCCGACGAGGACGGAAACTTCAACGGCCAGACGGGCTACGGCTACATCTCGCTCGAGAAGTTCGTCGACGGCTGCAGGCAGGTCAACTCTGGCCAGCTCAAGCCCAAGGACCTTGATGCCAAGGGTCTGCCCACCCTCAAGAACACCATTGCCACCACCGCTATTCTTCACGCTGGCAGGAAAAGTATCGACGAGAATCGTGAGATCAAGATTGAGGTCAACGACGGTATCTGGAAGCTGGTGTAAGGGGTTGTGTGGTTGAAGGATGATGCTATGGACGACTTGTGGATATGTAAAGGGCTTATATACCATCTGCTATTTTACGCTGAATGAAATCAAATCATGACATGAATGAGAAATCGCTTTGATTGCGGTGAGACGTGGAGCCAGAGTATCATCACACCCTGAAAATAGGGTATCTAGACAGTGAAACAGCAGTGTAAGCCCATATAGTGTGAGGCTCAAAACATGAGAATTACTGTACCAAACTTAGAGGAAGCAGGAAAGAGAAATCGCCAGTCAATCGCTTGTTGGGATATTTGCAATCCGTTACCGCAGGAGTCCTTTATCGTATAGACAGGACAATTATCGATGGCCTGCCAGCCGGACAATATCCAATAAAAAGCGTCAAGTGACCACACAATCGGTCAATCGCTTCCGAGAAACACACTCAGGCCGAAGTACCAATACTACCAATGGACAACAACATCCGTAGCATAGCAAACCTTAAGCCGATCCCTCTATAGACGACGCGAAGTGAATAATCATAGCCTACCGCAAACGATCATCCTGTCGAAGGGCTAACCAATTCGTTCGAAACTGCGGCTCATATCCCCCCAACCTTACGCTCGGCCTTTAATCAACAGAATATAGGTCTGACTAATATGAGAACCAATGGGGGGGGAGACAAGAGTTCACCGCCGGTGTGGCTACATCTCTTGGTGCTCATGCTGGGAATCGAACTCGAACTCGTAGCCTGTCGTCGAGTAGGCTGTGGGCGTAATTTGATTGTCGACTGTAAACTACTCCACCACCTGGCCAGTTTGTCCTGACACTCCGACCTAGAAGGACGCCTGCTGGTGACGAGGACAGAGTTGAGGAGACCTATATGAGTTTCTGTCTGTGGTGTATTGTGATCACGGAGATGAATATACGTCGACGCGGACGTAGGATATCTTGGGTTAAAGGCAGAGAAACCTTCGACATCGAGAAATTCCCCAAAATTATTGGAAGAAATGTAGATGTTTCACCGTAGAAGGTTTTAGACTGCAACTATACAAAAGGAGGACATCGGCTCCAAAGACGTGGATGATATTGAGGGTGTCGTACCTCGGTGAGGATCTCGGTGAGCTTTCGGTGAAGCTCGGTATTCGACGCAACTCTTACTACGCTAACCCGATATGAGCCAAGTGGCCCCTCCCCCGATAAGATAAGATTAACAAAAAATTCGAGAAGCGGCAACTCGAGCAACCTCCAGCCAAACTGCCATTGCGCCCCAGCATCGTACCTCGTCAATTCTACCTTAGCAAACCACCCGTGATCCCGCCATCCCACCACACCCCCTTCGCACTTCCGAAAAAAAAAGGCAATCGCATCACAATGGGTTCCGTCCTCCAAAAGAAGAAGCGCCGCTCCGGCCGCGCCAAAGTCAAGACACACAGGCCCAAGAAGCTCCTCAACCCTCTCGGCAACGACATTATCGCAAAGAACTGGTACGCAGAACGCACACATACAACTCGTCGCTCTCTACACTCCCAGCCGTCTCCGACCGGATCCAGTTGTCGTGAAATAAAAAACCAAGCTAACCATATCCTTTCGTCCAGGAACAAGAAGGAAACCCTCACCCAAAACTACCGCCGCCTAGGTCTCACAGCCCGCCTCAAATCAGCAACAGGCGGCACAGAAAAGACCCTCGCCCAACTCGAGCAAGCCGCCTCCGCCCCTTCCTCCGCCAAGCGCGACACGTTCGCAATCTCCACAACCGAAGAAGCCGTCTTTGAAGAAGCCCGCGTCGAGCGCGACGCCGACGGCAAAATCATCAAGATCCACTACAACAGCGCCAAGCGCAGCAACCCGCTCAACGACCCCCTCAACGCCCTCGAAGAATCCGACGACGACGACGACAACGACAACAACGAAGGAGAAGAATGGGGCGGCATCGACGACGAGAGCAGACCCGAGGTCATCCGCCTCCTCGAAAAGGAGGCCGCGATGCCCGAGATCAAGAAGCCGAGACATATCAGCAGCCAGGAGAAGGAGTGGCTCGAGAGGTTGATCGCCAAGCACGGGGACGATTACGAGGCCATGGTGCGGGATCGCAAGTTGAATCCTATGCAGCAGACGAGGGGTGACATTGCGCGCCGGGTGAAGAGGTTTACGGGCAAGGCTTGAAATCTTGTCCGAGTGGGGGTTGGGAGAGAAGAGAAAGCCGAGAAGCAGTGGGACATGAAGACGGGAAAGAAGGAAAGACAGAGCATTTTGGGGCAAGAGAAAGAAAAGTTCTAAAAAGGGGGTCACTCATGTTGCATGTTGGTCGGTGGTAAGAAGCCTGGCCATAGAGGAAATACTGTCGCGTTTTCCCCTCGAGGAGTTTACGGCGTTTTCAGATGAAAACTTTGGGCATAAAAACAAAATATTCCACATGTTCACTGCAAAAGCAAGTTGCGCGTTTTTTTCTTTAATATCATTGACTGTTGATCGTCATGTCATCAAATTTGATGTCTACCTAGAGAGCTTCATGCCTGGTATCTTTGCGATTACCTTTGTTACAAATGGGACGCCAACAACACCCCGTAATCCGGAAAATAAAAATCCAAGCCCGTCTATGTGAACACTGGACGGCACAGTGCGTCCCCCTTCATCAAACCAAACCCGGGGCCAGGTTTTGCTCGGGCTGTGGCCCTGCCATCACAAATCCCTCACAATGGAATAATCTCCCGCTGAAAGAACAGGGTCTTCATCTTAATGCATCGTCCGATCGTAGGGCGCGGAAGGGAACTGCGCGGGCCGGTCATCATCATAGGCGGGTGCTGCGCCGTACGGCTCAGGGGCAGAGTACGGTTGTACCGCCGCCGCGGGGCTGGTGGAGGTGGGCCTCTGGGGATGGGTTTGAGAGTGGTACTCGGTCTCGCTGTCGAACATGGCGCCGTTCTGGCGCGAGGGGAGGGATCCATAGCGGTTCGGGTCGTCGTCCTCGCTGTAGGCTGAGCTGCCGGCGCCGTAGCGGCTGCCGTAGCTGTTGTTGGCGTATCCGTGGTTGCCGGTGGCGTTACCGCCGTAGAGGGTTGTGTTGTCGTCGTTGTGGTCGTCCATCTGGACAGGAGCGTAGGCCTCCTCGTCGTGGGGCGCCATGGAGAAGGCGGCCTTGTCGGGGTCGATGTTGTCACCGCCGAGCTTCTCCTTGTCGTAGCCAGGGAGCTTCCCGTGGAACTGGTAGTACTTGAGGGTGTACAGACTGACAAAGGTGCTACCGCCGAAAAGAAGGCTGTCGGACAGTTGTTAGCATCATTTCTTGGAAAGCTGTGAATCTGGGTTCTCTGAAGACTTACCAGACGAAAACACCCAAGCCGACAATGGCCTTGCTGAGCTTGCAGCCGTCACCGCACTGGTTGGCGGTGTTGTAGGCGGCCTGACTTGCGAAAGCGGAAAGCCAGATGATGCAGAAGCAGGCGTCTACGATGGCCATGGCATAGGGGTTGGCCAGCTTTCTTGTTCTCGGCCACCGCGGCGCCATAATCAGGTAGATCCACGCCGGTAGCGAAAGGAAGCACTGCGATGCGACTGTTAGCAAATTTGGATACCGCGAGACTAGCATCGTTTTCCTGATAGGTCGCCTTACCACTCCAAAAGTCCAGCCATTGTTGCCGACGATTTTGGCATTATCGGCTCTAAAGACTGCAATTTCCAATGCCCAGATTGCGAAGGACAGAATGAACTGGAAGATGTGCAGGCCAAGCTTGACGCCCGGGACGTATTCCGGGTCGAAGTCTAGATTTCCGAGCATGTTTGTCGTCGAGTCGTCGAAGATGTCGGGTTTACTGGTGATCTAGTAGGGTTTCCCTACGTTTGTGATCGAAAGGGGGATGTTGGATGGGAGGAGGTTGTCAGCTATGCGACTGTTGCTCCCCTGGCCTTTTTTCCCCTTCTAAATAAAGATCAAACTCAATCCGGCTCGGCAACGGGGTTTGGCGAGACAACCCAGGGATCGGAACCAGTGGACGGGGGGTTTTTTGGGGGCCAATCGATAAGGAAACCCGCTGAAATGATGTAAGGTAGCTCGCTGGCTTGGGTTGTTCGGGTTGTGGGAACGAGTGTCGGGTGAGGTGCTGTTCGCTGTTGTTCAAAACCACTGAAAAGTATTTGTGAGAGAAGCTTGGAAGTGTGTGAGTGAGATGAGGGTGAGGGAAACAGGAGGTAATAGACGAAAAATCAGGAACAGAAGGAGCAAAGTGGCTTTGGGGGACGCGTCTGCCTTTTCTTGTCTTTAAAACGAAACAGCCCCAGCTGGCCTCGAATTGCGGCAGTGACGAGACGTGGATTTAGTGGGCAACGACTCGTTCCCTCCTAGGTACAGAGTAAGGTACGGATACAGTGGCAGTGGGCAGTGGAGTGGACGCCCGGCAGAGGGGTGGGTCCAAGCCGCGCCTGAAGCTCCCGTCATCTTTTTTGTCTTCCCAGCCTTACCTAAGCCTCCAAGGTACCTTACGGATACACGGTATGGCTTGAGTTAGGTATGTAATCATTCCAGGCTGTACGGACAACTTGCAGTGTAATCATTCTTACTCTTCTCGACCATAACCTTGAGGCTTCAACCAGGATCCCATCTACGGCCACTTTGCAGCCCCGATGCTGCGGAACCTCTACGCTCAATGGGACGGACACCAATGCGAACTCACGGCCCACGGTCCAAGGACAGTCCATGAACGGATGGATTCCACACAGGTTGGGATGAGGGCATGAGGCAGACTGCGGAAAACTTGGGTTGAACCAAGCCACTCAACCGCTGGGTTTACACTGCGCCACTGCATCCCAGGCAGCGAATTATCGTCTCTCGAGTGCGACCAGCTGAGCAATAGATCCCTGCACGCCACGCCTCCCCGAGCGAATAGTTCGAACCCGTCTCTTTTTTTCTACCTTTTCGTCCCCTTTGCCCTGTGGCCCCTATGGTTCACCATGTGTCCATACGTAGTATACTTGGTTTGTCGCCGCATGGCTAGCCAAACGGACGACGTTCAAGGTACAGACAGCCTAGAGGAAGCCACGCACCATTTCAAATGGTGCTTTTCGTATTTTCTCAACCGTCGACCGGCGCAAGCCAATGGCTGACGCGCCGTTGTTTCTCCTACCGAAAGCCAGCGAGCCCTGATTTCCTCCGACGTTTGGATTGGTTGTTGCCTCGCTGTTGCTTTGCTGCTGCTTTCTTGCTGCATGCTAAAACGTCCTGGTTGTCATGGTTGTCTGGGGTGATGCGCGGCAGCAGGGGGAGAAAAGGCCGGACGGCGATCATCAATGATGACAACCTGCAGACGATAATGGGCCTCTATTTCTTGGACGGCAACCCACGGCAGACGAGATGACCGCCAGGCAGGACTTTGGGGAATGTGATCTTTTCTGCGAGCGGACCCGGAACTGTCAGCATAATTGAGCCGTTACAGAAATGCGCGCGCGACACTGACAATTGACACTGACGGACTGGACTGACAGACTGTTCAGAAGCTTCTGAGAACCTGGCAAGATCAAGAAGCTAAAACGAGCCCGCTGCCGCCGCATTCCGGATGGTCCACGCGCACAACGGCTGAGCCGCCCAGCGCTCCGCTCCTCCCTACCATCTAGGCCAAGATTGTTTGGTCACACGGCAACTGTTGTCTCTCGTACGAGACCAGAGGAGAGAGAGGGCCGCCAGAGCCTCAAGACCTTGAGACCCCTTGCGAACGCAGTCCATCCCATGATTCCACTGACGAAGACCTTGATCTTGACAGACGGGAACCCCGAGTGCGTCTCCATCGAGGCGAATCTCTCTGTCTATTTCTCTCCCACATCAAGAGCTGTTGGTCTGATCGCCAGAGCGGGAAGAGGGCACGCACCAGATGCCCTTGCGTTCGACTTGCGCCAGGAAATAGAGTCCCTGGTGTATCCGTAGGGGTGGATACAATGGCGTAAGTCTTTGCCGCCCGATGCTATGTAAAGACGGGTCCCCCTCCATCCACGGCCGCAGCACGGATACAAGCCATTTACTGGGGTGCAGAGGGAGCATCTCACCCGCGCAACAAGCAAGCGAGCGAACGAGTGAGCGACAGTTGCGTCGCCCATCTTGGCTGTACCCGACATAGCCACTCTTGCTTGCGTGTTGCCAATATACCATCTGCCGGCGCATCTTGACGACGCGAAAAAGGCGGAGGGATGTTTTTAATGTTCCGGTTTTTCCATCGTCTTCTCCGTCTTCAACTCGTCGGCGTTACCGACTCAAGTCCGGCCCGAAAGAGTCCGGCGGCGGCGGCGGCGGCGGCGGCGGCAGTACAGAACTTTGATAATCTTGGGACGACATATGAGTGAGCGCATGCCAGCGATCCCTAGCCTGCGGCTGAATGCACCTAGAAATTCAGCACAAACATGAGATTGAAGCCTCATTCAATGTCTCTCCCATAATGTCTCCGATGTCTCTGACCCCTTGTGAATCTCATTCAACCCATGGCAACAACTCATCAAACATCCAGCAGCTAAACCTGAAAATGAATGCTATGAAACATGACCTCACAATCTTATAATCGGTGTTATCCAAATGAGATGCGATGAATGAGTCGCCTTGCATCCATACAGTGCTGAATGCCACTGCTTTTGCACCAAAGACCAGGCGCAAGCACAGTGCAAAAAGGGCAATCCACAAGTGAAATTTCACGACTGAGACGTGCCTCATTTCGAGCCCTAGACGGGAGTTCGGAACCAATCTTGTACAATACCCCTCCAACTTCACTCAATCTCATCTTGGATAAGATAGTTCTCCAATTCAAACACACCCCTGTCCTATCCCGGAGGCTCTCACCCCTCCAAGCTTCAAGCTTCAAGCTTCAAACGAAGCCATGGCGCAAATCCCAGCCGCGGCGCCCGCCCTCTCAGACCTCATCTTCCCCACGACGGCAAACCACAACTTTTCCCACATCCTCACGGACCTCAAGCGCGCCAACCTCTCCATCGCCAACCGGCTTCGCTCCATCACGCAGGACGCCGAATTCGTCAAGGATGTGGCCGCGAGTTTCGGTCGTCCGCTTGTGGCGAACGAGCGCTGCGGGAGCTGGTATATTCGGCCTGCGGAGAAGAGGGCGAGCGCGTACTTTAAGAGTACGGATGGGCATACGAATGCGTGGAAGTTTAGTACGCGCAGGTTGAATTTGCATTTGCTTGAGCTTGTTGGGAGGCATGATGGGTGAGTTTTACGGTGGTGTGTGTGTATGTATATGTGAGCAAGTGTGACATTGTTGTGATGGTGGCATGAGTGCATACTGGAGAGGGAGATGCTTTCGATATAAAATGCTTTTCCATGAGAATAAAGCTGACTTAAGACACCAGCTGCATCATCGTAGATTCAACTCGCCGAGGCAAGAGTAAGTCCACATCATCAAACCCATCCACGAGTACATCCAAGAACCTCAAGACTTACACAATCCGCCCAGGAATGCCAGACGCCCTAAGCAAAACAATACCAGTCTGGTGCGCCGTCCTCAACGCAGCCCTCTTCCCAGACCTCGCCCTCGACCCGGCGCGGCAGAAGCATCTCCGCCTCTTTACCCCTCCCAACGTCGTCTCCGCCTCAGAGCACGCCCAAATCGCCGCCCTGCTCCCATCCTTCCTCGCTTCCCTGAAGAGTCTCGACCTCGACCTGCCAGCTCTCCGCGCGCACATCTCCAAGCCCCTGCGCCCGTTTTGGGTCACGCAGGAGACGCAGCTTCCGTCGTCGACTACGTCTGCGGGCGACGATGGCAATGCCGAGAATGGGAATGTGGTCTTTGAAGACTACCACCCCATTATATGCTGCACCTCCTCCCGCCGCGTCGCCGGCACGGAAATGAGCGAGGCGGGGTACATCCAAGGCGCCGGCGACGATACAGAGAACTGGGCTCTAGGTCTGACTGCAGAAGTCTTCTGGGAGAATGCCGCGGCTTTGCTCTCGTGCCCCGAGGCTGATTTACCGGAGCTGGTCGTTCGTCTCGTCGCGGAGGGGAAGAGAAATGCGCCGAGGGGGGTGCAGCCGAAGCAAGTCGCGCCGCGGATCTACGTCTCTCCGTTGCCTCTGGACGATGGTCAAGACAACAATAGCGGTAGTGATACGGATGCTGCGTCCGCGGGTGCGGGCGCGTGCAGAGTCGTACTGACACAGGACGTCACGGCGCGGGAGTCGTGGGTGAAATCCCCGACGTACATGCAAGTCGGCCTCGGGAAGCACAAGGTCGCGAGCCGGAATCTCCGGCAGGCGTTGCCGGATATCTGTGCCTTTGTCTCGGGGTACCTCGATTCGCATCGAGATGTAAAGGGCGCAGATGGCACTGATGGCGACAGCAACAGCGACGGCAGCGTCCTCGTGGCTTGCGAGACGGGTAAGGATCTATCCATTGGCGCCGCGCTGGCCATCTACTGCTGGTGCTTCGACCGGGACGGCAACTTTCGCGTGGCGGACTCGACGACGTTGTTCAACAAGGATATGATCCGGGTGAAGCTGGGGACTATCATGACGGCCTTTCCGGAGGCCAATGCGAATCGGGCTACGTTGCAGAGCGTCAACAGCTTTCTCATGGACCATCGAAGATGATAGATCTCTTTTACTAGTCTTTGAGTCTACTTGGAGATTCCTCTTCTCCACTGGGCGGCTTGATGAAGCGCCCGCGAGAACTAACTGGGACAATTCCAGTCCTGGCTAACGATATGAACACTATAAAGATGGGAAGAAGAAAAGGGGATTTGGATGGGGAGATGAAAGCATCATGATCCCTCTACATCGCCGCAGCCCAACCTCACAGAGAGGGCGACGGGATAGAAACCCCGGCTAGTCAGGCGCTCCCGCTCTCAATCTTGGCCAACATGCCAGGAAACTCGCTCCAGTCCTTCATGACAACCACGGCCCCGGCATCACGCAGCACCTTTTCCATCTCAGCCTGCTTATCAGCAGCGTACGGCCCAACATACCCGATAACCTTGATACCCGCGCGCGTACCGCTGAGCGTCCCGCTCTTGGAGTCCTCGATGGCGACGCACTCCTCAGGCTTCTTGCCGAGCGTCTTCATGGCGTGCAGGTAAATCGCGGGGTCAGGCTTGCTAGTAGGCGTCGGCAGCGACGTGGCAGCGCTAAAGACGACGTCCTCTGCGAAATACTTATCCTGCCCGACCTTTACGACGGACGCCCAGACGCGGCGCTTCGCGGACGAGGAGACGACCGACAGGGTATGCTTCCCGTCCTTTTGCAAGCGTTCGAGCTGGTCGTCGACGCCCACGCAGGGCTTGAGAGCGGCTTTCAGCTTGGCGATGACGGCGTCCTCTTCGCGGGTGACGTAGGACTCGAGCTCGTCGGGCTGGAGCTCGAAGCCGTGGGATTTGGCGAGGCCGAGGAGCATGCCGCGGAAGTTTTGGCCGACGAACTCCTTGATGAGGGATTCGCCCGTGAAGCGCTGCTCGATATTGCGGGAGGTGCAGATCTCGTTGATGAGGTCGGCGCAGGCCTCGAAGGCGAGTTCCTCGGAGAGCACGAGGGTGTTGTCGCAGTCGAAGAGGAGGGTTGTGATCTGGGCGGTGGTGGTCAGTTGTTAGTCCAGGTCATTGCGCTCCGGACGCAAAGGGGGTTCAAGGTTGGGACTTCTCATCATGGCTTACTTGAGGCATGTTGGCGGTTATTTACAGAGAATCGGATGCTATTCCGGGTTGAGGTGGAGAGCTTGTCTCGTGAAGAGCGGGGTTTCGCTGGAGCTGAGAGCTGAGTCTGGAGGGGGAGGAGTAAGCTATCTATAAGGTTGGCGAAGCTTATTGTCCGAGACCAATTGACAAAGAAACCTTGGTTGAGCTGAGGGCTTGAAGAACTGGGAACCTTGCAATGGAGAGGGGAGGGAGAGACGGAGAAGAAATAAGCTATTGAGTGAATTAAGGTAGAAATGAGACTTCTTCTACCTTGCCTATCTAAAGCATCTCCCAGGAAACCGAAAAGGTCTCTCTCTTCCTTTCCTTTCCGTCTTTCTCCCGCACCCCCTTGACCCCCCCTCTTCCTCCAAGCCGGCTGTTCATTTTCGTCGTCCCGATGAGTCCAATGAGAGCCTCGGAAAATAACACGCAAGTAAGGTAACTTGAGCCTGGGGCAGCTTTGGCGGGAAAATGACCTTACAACACCCGACAGCACTTGCGTCGATGCTGGTGCTGCTGGAGGTAGAATGAGGGGCCCCACCAACGCCTTTTACCCCTCCAAACCCACGGGCGTCCCCATCCCGTCCTTCACTGGGCGCCGCCCATCTCCCGCATGTGAAGTGTCGTCATTACCGCGGGGTTGAGTACATGGCCAGCACTCAAAGCTCGTGAAGAAGACCGCAGCGCGAAAACCTGGGAGCCGGGCCGCCTGATCAAGGCTTGATGCGCTATTTACTTGCTTTTCAGATTACTTGTTTACAGGAACTATTCACGGGAATCCTACATTTCTTGATATCCGATGGTAGTAGTAGTCGTAAGAAAGGCAATCAGCCCACGTTTAAGTAAACCCCCCCCGCACCCGCGCTCCATCCTCCCGACTCCCGAACCCGCCAGCCCAGCTACAAACAGAGTTCTGCCGAGCTGGAGCCGGGGGAACTCGGGAAGACGGCCCTGAGAGGTTTCATTCCAACCCAACCTTGCGCCAAAGACCGTATCGCATATTGCAATTCCGTACTGCGTGTAGATACAGCAAATGACGGGGGACAATCCAATATCTGAGCGGGATGACCGAAAGAGAAGGGAGACAAGGCGCACTTGTAATTACACAGTAACGAAAAGAGGCTGACCAGACAGGAAGGCGAAGGGGGTGGTATCATTTCCCCTTCCCCTTCCCTTCCTATCACAAGCATCAAGGGGCAGGCAATCAGGATATAATCCTTTTCTCTCTCGGCCACCCTCAACCCTTACTTTTCGACCCGGTTCCCTGCCGTCGACCCTTTAACATTATCATAAACACCAATTCATGGCAGCTCAGCTAATCAATTAGGTAAGTATGTGGGAAACGCAAGGATACAGCCCGCTCGGTCTACGCCGGATGAACATGGAACTCAAGCACAGCAGACCTGGAATGAGGCTGGCTGGCTGGCTGGCTGGCTGGCTGACTGACTGACTGACTACTTCGGTCCCGAGGTGCCCGTATGAACCCGTCTAGGCACCTACTCGCGCCGATGTCGTCACCGAAGCCTGATCGTGAATTGCCAGCCACTTGAAGAGAAAAAAGTGAATTCTAGTGCAGAGTTCCAATTTTGTAATGTTTAGTGCTCAAGATTGACTCCGGCCGTGTTATCTCGCGCGATGATGTACGTCTTAGAACCCCTCTACCATGACAACTCTTTCCATCACCTTTCTAACTGTTTCAATGCATCAACCAAAAGGACCACCTCCCTGATGCCAACCTTTACTCACATATGTGGCGATGACATATTTGAATCCGTATCAATATAGTTTCAAGCTTGAATTATTTCATATCTAAATATCTCTGCGCAGGCATCACCTCCCGCCGGTGACTCATTTCGTGTTGCCTGCCCATGAAATGCGCAATGCTCATAGGGGAAAAAAGGAATAAAGGCCAACCCTGTAGCCCTTGCAAAAACACAGAACCAAACCACACCCCAAACTCCTATTCATGATGAGCATACCGGCCCCTAAAACCAAAGATCATCTTCTTGTTTACGGTCCAACGCTCCGCAACACCCGCGTCGTCTCTGTATCCCTCCTCATCCCTGCGGCTGGTATTCCTTTACAGAATCTCCTTCAACTGTTGCTTCTGTGCCGGCGTTAAGCTCGTGGGGAACTTGACATTGTACTTGATGACAAAGTCGCCCCTCGTTCCGGGCTTCTTCGAAATGGGCATGCCCAGGCCAGGGTAACGATCGGAGCTGCCGGGCTGTGTGGGACCGTTCTTGTCAAGGTTCAACTGCTTGCCGTCGATCGTCGTTACCGTCCGCTTCCAGCCCGTGAGGGCCTCCTTCAGATCTAGCTCGACGGTGTGGACCAGGTCGTTGTCTTCGCGCACAAATAAGGGATGGACTTTCTGTATGATTTGTTAGTATCGTAATGTCACTCGAGTGTTGAATAGAGAGATGTGTATGAACGTACCTCTTCCAAGATAAAGTGCAGGTCCTGCTGGCCGCCCTCTTCCTGGTCGCCAACACCCTTGAACTTGATCTTGCTGCCCTTCTTCAGACCGGGCTTGATGGGCACCTCAAGAACCGTATCAGTCGTCGTCCTCTTGCCCGTGTCGTCAAAGGTCTTGCGCTTAATCTTCATCTTCTTCGTCACGCCACGGAACAGCTCCTCCAACGTCAGCGGCAGCGGTCGCTCCACCGTCGTGACCTCGGGCGTTGCCTCCCTCGCTCTTGGCGAATCGCCGAACCCGCTGCTGCGCATGCGCTGTGATCGCCCACCGCGCGGGCCGCCGGCACCGCCAAACGTCGAAAAGATGTCGGAAAAGTCGTCCATGCCGCCCGCGCTGCCGCCACCACCGCCCATACCGCCAGCACCGGAGCGCATGAACTCGGCAAAGACGTCGTCTGCCGAGCTGAAGTTGAAGCCGTTGGCGCCGCCTCCTCCTCCGGTGCTGAAGCGGAATGTGCGTGCGCCGCCACCGCCGGGCATGCCTCCTCCTCCGAAGTCGAAGCCACCGGGCATGCCACCCCCGGCGAAGGGATTAGGGCCGCCGGCATCTGGGGGAGGGGCGCCCCCGCCGCGGAGCAGGAACTCGAGACCGTAGTCATCGTACGTCTTGCGCTTCTCGGGATCAGAGAGGATCTCGTAGGCTTGTGAGCATTCCTTGAACTTTTCGGCGGCGTCTGGGTTATCCTTGTTCTTGTCGGGGTGCCACTTTAGTGCGGATTTCCTGTATACGTGAGGTGGTTAGCAAAAGTTACGGTCTGAGATGGTCGTGTGTGGAGGCAAATAGGGCGATTGGGCCACTTCGTTGGGCAACGACAGGCCAAAGGTAAGTGAGGGGCATATAGAGTAAAGAGGAGAAATGAGAATCATGGAAAGCTGTTGCGACTTACCGATAGCCCTTTTTAATTTCGTCTTGCGTCGCCGTGGGCTTGACGCCCAGCTGATCGTACAGCTTGGTTTCTTTCACCATTGTGTATGACTGTCGGGTGATTGTCGTGTAAAAGTCGACCAGTCAATTAAACAGGAGGGTAAAAGTAGTGTGGATATCGCAGCGATCTGTGACTTGTCTTCGCTGATGTTGTGTCTCTCGTGTGTTACTTTAGGGGGTTATATGTCTGAACCCTTGGAAGTTGCTTTGCTTGTGCAGTCAATCGACGTGCGTGTAATGAGAAGCAAAGAAAAAAAAAACAAGTTGGTAGTTTTTAAAGAAAAGAAGAATTGGAGAGAATGGTTGGATGATGTGCAGCCGACTGTCTGGGTCTCGGTGCGTGATATGTACCTACGTAAGGTAAAGTTGGTCCTTACTGCGCAAGGTAAAAAGCCAAGAAATACTGGGTCACCGAGGGGAGCCCAGAGCGTCTTAGTGGTAGAAATGTCCCCCCTCCCCGGCCGTCTTCAGTGGAAGAAACAGGGCGCGATTGTGGAAGGTTCGGTGCCCGTCTCTCGAGA